TAATTATATAAATAAAATTTTAAAAATTTTAAATTACATTTTACCTTTCGACTCAATTTTACTCAGCTAAATTAATAAAATTATGTTTGAACTTTGTCTTTTGTCTCGAAATATCTCTAATTTTTTTTTTTTTGAAAAAATGGATAATACCTTAAACTTTCAAAAAAATGTTTAAGAAAATATTCTTACCATTAGTTTGGAATAGAAACGGTTAACATTTTATTTCAAAATATTATTGAATTTTTAAAAGGGTTTCAAAAATACTTTTAACTTTTAAATATTCTTAAGCTTTCAAGAGGGTAGGTGTCGTTTTTAAATTATTCACGTAAACTAGGTTCACGGTTCATCTCTACCCTATAATTATTGAACTACATAAATGATAAAGAGAGCATGCTCGTTAGACATTACTAACAAAATTACATTCTGCTAGTAACCATTAAACCATGTCGACATTTTTAAGATAGTTAACGATAGTTTATCTATTAACCTATGTTCGAGTTCGAAAGCTAACTGTTCGAAAGCTAACTTTACGGGGTTTAGCTCTTAGCTCTTGATGAACAGTGAGCCAAATATCAAAGTTTTTGGAGGGTTTTGGCCCTTTACCAAATTTATAGTTCATTTTGGTTAAATCTTAATGTATGTTTATTGAGATTGAGAGGAGTGAAGTTGGTTTGTTGATTCGATTTGTTTATTAGTTCATTTGTTGTTGTATGGGTCGACAGTTTACTTGATAATTGCTATTTAAATCAGTTGAATTATACTTAAATTGATATTTAATATTTAATATTTAAATTAGTTGAATTATACTTAAATTGATATTTAATATTTTTTATTTTCACGTCAGGTATTGCCTATGACTGTATGTTCATGACAGGTCCAACCCTTTATGTCTTTTCATATTCTAGTGTTACTTTTATATTTATAGGAAATATGACATTTCAGAAAGCCTGTCAAACATGAAATGCTTCAGAATGTACTATAAGGAGATACGACTCGTTGTCAACTTCTTCCTATCCAAAGTTATATACTATGAGCCGTTATTATTTCTCTATTGCTTGCTTATATAAAATCTCTTTCAGAAATCTCTCTTTGCTCTCGTTTTCTAAAACCTTCTCTTAAAACTAAGGCTAGAGGCTCGAGCATACATCGAATTGGCTTAGCTCATTTGTCGTTAGAAAGTGAGTGCCGCACAATCGCAAGTCTGCTACCATCAAAAGTGCGATTGTGACACTTAACATGCAATAACGAGCTTGGCATACTATGACGAGCTTTCTTATTTCCAACCCGACCTACCCATAATTGAGATTGAAAATATAAGTTTAGCATGCTCTAATTTTGAAATAGGTTAGATATAAATGTAATTTGTTAGAAAAATATATAGTATATAGAAAAAGAAAAAGAAAACTATTTTATCACACAATTATTTCATAAAATTGATCGAAAATATAATTTAAAAAATTACAAAATGTAGAATTATTTTTATTAATTTAGCCTCTATAATATAAGCAAAATTTAGTGCTTTATTGAAGAACACAAGTGTTCAGTAACGAGATTCAAACATTCTGTTCAATCATATTCTTTAGCAGACATTTCTATGTAAAATATAGAATCGAACAAAACACACATCAAATCACATAGACTGAAGGATGTCTCCTAATCACTAATTTTATATAACAAATTTTTACTCCGCTATTCGATCTGCCAAAACCATTACTGATTTTCATAGAACAGATCATGTATTTTTGTTCAATCTGTTTCGTGATCGGGTGCAGGGGTGTACCAGGCAGGGAATGTACCTTTGCTCCTCAGCAATCTCGTAAATGGTGAATCCGGCATTCTCGCTCCCTCTTCTTCTTCAATTTCCTCTGCGGATTTCGGCAATCCATCTGGTATTGGACAATCTCTCACTCTTCTTTCCACGCCGTTCAATGGCTTCTTCGCCTCGTTTTCGCTTTCCTTCTTCTTGTGTATTCCCGCGATGCCGTGTAGGAGTCCGATCAGCGATTTCACGCCTCCCGCTTGAAGAATCAGTTTCTCCACTTCTTGTTTAGGCGACTCTTTCTGAGAACACACACAGCGATTAATTAGTTCGTTGATTAATTAATTCGCATGTTTCCTCTCTCGTTTAAAATTAGGTCTAGAATTCATCGGATTTGGGGGAAACGGGAAATCAAACGCGAAATAACAGAAAATCTGGAACGAAAATCAATTGAGAATCCCTAGAAACTCACTTCAAGATCTTTGAGCTCGAAATACGCTTTCCAACAGCTGTATGAATCGTCTCCATCCAATGTCGAGCAGTAATCTAAACCAGTCCAAACAGAAAACAAGAAATCGCATAGGATCAGAAACACAAAAATGATTCCATGTCAAAACAACTTCCTCTGAAATCAATAGCCAAACCTGCAAGCTCGTTCTCGGACTTCTCAACCAGAGGCGGATCTTTGATGGCGCGATCAAGCTTCGTGCGACTAAACGGCTTGAGCTTCGGAATAGAAGCATGGCTTCTGGAAGAACAACGAACAACGGTAGAAGGAAATCTCGGAGAGGAAGCGGATCCGATCCGACGAAGAAGATCCGTGGATTCGAGAAGTAAAGGAGATGAAACAGAACGGAGAAAGGATGATTCCATCGCTTGTTGCAGAAATCGAGAGTAATTGTGAGGAAGAAGATGAACAAAAAGGGGATAAGGATGGAATTTGATTATTTATTTATTAATTGTTAGATTTTGTGTTTTTATATAGAAAGAAAATATCAAGGGGCCGTGACGTCAGATAATTCTGTCGACGTGTTCTGGAGCGTTGGATTGGCGTGATGTGATTGGGAACATGTGGGTGACGTGGACGGGATTGGAAGGGTGCGTTGGACTTTTTCCTTTTTGGATAAGAAAGCGTAAGCGGTGGGGCCAGAATCTGCTGCGGACATGGTATACTGTGGGCGATATTTATTTTTCTTGCCTTTTATCTTTAATTAAAATTGTTGAAATATTCCAATTCCTTTTATATTTAATATTTCAATTCTCCAATTTGGACAATTTGTTATTTTCTATTGATTATCTCATGGTTTAATTGAAACATTAAATACTATTTATAACCTCATAAATATTTTTAAAACAATACATTTTTAAATTTAATGTAACTTGAGTTGTACCGTGGAGCTTAGACATTTCTTGCTCCATCCCAACCGAAAATGCATGCCAAGGGCTCTCGTGCATACCTTAGAGTGATCATCACCACATATATCTCACATCTCAACATAATGGAACATGTAACCCGCTTGCTTGCTGTTTAACAACCTAATTGAATGCAATAGCCAGAGGTAATCTGCCTGAATAGCCAAATGGTAGGGATGATACCACTGGCTACGATCATATCATATGACGCAAACGTTGTAGATGTAGAATATGGTAAACTTGTGTAGGCCGAAAAAGGAGCCGAGCTAATGAAAGAGTTGAAGGGCATGTACTTTCATATTGGCGGAGAGAAAGACCGTTGATGGCTTATTGGAGAAAGAGAGGCTAAGGAGGAGGCAATGCGCCGAACTTTTTGCTTCGTGTTTCGAGCAGCTTAGGGATCGGACAATCTAGAGGATGCACAAACTTGACATTATCGAACTTTCTTTATCTAGTTAGAAGAGATTTGGTCTATGGCTCGATAGACCTCAAAGTGAAGGATGAAAATCTCCAAGAAGTTCATTTTCTTTATTTATAGGTTCTCTATGACTTGGTTAATACCTTAGATGTGTGGAGAGGGATGCCTTCTTTGATGGGTTGAGGTGCTACAGAGAGCAATTATTGTGAAACTCTTAAGGTTTGATCTAACAACTTTATTGAGGAACAAGACCTTTATATCTAAATTATCCAATAACCTTGTTGAAGGAGCGAAACGATGAAAGATTAAGAGTTGCTTGAAGAAAGAGAAGACGAATAAGCAAAGATTACAATCGTTCATTAACAAGTTACATGTTTCATTATTTTAAATTATCCAATTAACGGTCTATTTAGAGTTTTCGATATGCATGGGGATCTCGGTCCAACAATCAGTTTATTTCATAAGCTCGAATGGCCTATCCCAGTTTTGGTTATGGTTTTAGGGTATTTTGACTATAGTCTCTTCCAATTTTCTCTATGTATGCTTATTTATAATCTACATGCTCACATGTCAGACATGCTCTCGATCAAATTCGACTTGTTTACTAGACTCTGCTTGAAATAGTTCACAACTCGATAGTCAAGTATACTCATATTCCTAACTTATTACTCAGCACGTCAATGAAAGGGTTGTGCGTTGTATAGTAGGCTAATAGGCGACATGTCTCTCAACCTATCATCCATCAAATTGTAAAGTGTACATGTGGCATAATCACCACTACCGTTCGTTTAGCAAACTTCTAATGGCTCGTACATCGTTCTATCATAAGAAAGGGTATTTTCCCAAACATGACACATATTACAATGAGTCCATAATCATAAACTAGATGCACACAATCTACACAATAATCATAAATCCCTAACATGCTCATAATATAATCATGTGAACATATCTAACATTTTATTCTTGCAATCAACACATGAATGTGGCTAAGTTCCTAATCGCATGATTGGCATGATTGGCACATTTTACAAGTTATGCTTATTTAAAAGTTTCAAAAGCTCTGAAATGCTACTTATTACTCTTCAATTTCCTCCAATTAAACATATAATCGATAATGGTTACCATCAATGTTAATAGACATCCATAAAACAAACAAATAGAAGTCGAGCGGAACGAATCTAAGACCTGCCTCATGTTGTGATCATACTTTTTTGAGACTTAACAAAACGATTGTGCGTTACTCACACTCCCTCTCACCACTGAACAAGTCAGAGTCGTGTAGCTGATTAAGTTCTAATTATTTCATAAACTAATGCTAACTAAATTAAGGCAATATGTTCTTATGATTAATATCAGAACAGATTTGATTAATATCAGAACAGATTTGATTAATATCAATACAGTTTAGCCATAAAATTCAATGGTATTATGCTGCACCATGTATATATATGTGTGTGTGTTGAATCTTCAAGATTGTACAATATCTAACAAAATGTAGATCATAGCTCTGAGCTATGATGAAGAATATTGGTTCCTTGCCTACAGAGATGAAGAATTTTACCCGAATGGATTGGTGACGGTATCACGAACATCAGAGAAAAGTTTGAAGAGGGAGAAGCGCATGAGATTGTCAACTTCAAACCAGGAGTTGAGGACTTCCAGGTTCCTGTCTGTCCCTGAAAATGCTAGTTGTATGCTTATATTGCAGTCAACAGAACCGCCATGGTACTTGCATTTGGAGCTCGAAACTACACAGTCTTGGTTGTCCAGACACACTGAAAAATCCCCAGTGCATTTCTCGCATCCATATTTCTTCCAGAACAGGTTTTGAAGAGTGCCCCTTTGAAATTCAAAAACCTGGGTACAACATTGACACAAGCAACACTTAACTGTTATCACAATGGTGGTGGGTATCATCGCGATGGTAAATGGTGGTTTATGGGCTTACCAAAGTGAAACTAGTTATGGTGTGAGAGTTATCGGTAATCATTACAGGGAGAGATCTTGCTGCATACTTCAGCCCAGCAAATGCTACCATATACCCACCATTCATAGCCTGCAAACCACCACGAATCATATTCATTTGAACTTTTCCTTTCTAACAATCATATAATCAAATCATCCACCAAAATCTTCCATTAGTTCATTGTTTCAACATTTAAAAAGTTAGTGACCCACCCACGGTTCAACCAATGAAAAAAATTGTTTAAAGTGTATGATTTGGAGAGGTTTTTTTCTCTCCTTTGTGCTACCGCTAACTGCACATATTTCTAATGTGGGTGCGACCAATGAAAAAAATTGTTTAAAGTGTGTATGATTTGGAGAGGTTTTTTTCTCTACTTTGTGCTACCGCTAACTACACGTATTTCTAATGTGGGTGCGACAAATGAAAAAAATTGTTTAAAGTGTATGATTTGGAGAGGTTTTTTTCTCTACTTTGTGCTACCTTTACAAATGTTTCCAACTGTAACTACACGTATTTCTAATTGGTAGAACATAACCCTAGTTGGATGAGTTGTCATCCATTTTATGTATCATCATTGTCTAATTGTTGTACCAAAATGCCACGACTAAAATGTCTTGATACCCAATTGTTTAGCTGTACTCACACATCTACAAACAGAAATTGAACAAATAGACACAAAAATTTACGTGGTTAGGAGGGAAGAAATTCCTCTAAATCCACGGATGTTAGCCAAATCACAATAACCAAAGTGTTTACAAGTGTATCTATCACAATCTAATGCTATAAAGTCTCTCTTACTAAGTTACTAAATTTCTTCCAATTGCCTCTAGACAAATACAAAATGACAATGAATCCACATCTAATTCAAATTCCACTCTACAAATATAAAATGAAAATGATTCTACGTTTCAAAATAATGCTAGACAAACTTTTGTATAGGCATTAGAAGTAATAATGTAATACATGAATCATCTGATTCCATTCACGTAGAGAATTAATAACTAAAATAAATTAAAATATGAACCAGTATTATGACTAAACTAGAGTTATATGACAACTTACAACAGCCGGTGAATAATTCATACTCGTACAAATAAACCTTTAGAGTGGAAGTAAAATCCTCCCCTGTTCATACTTGTACTAGAAACAGGAAAAAGAATCATCTATGTGTTTTGCTAATCCATACCCCCTTGTTTGAATTGTGATTCTCTATATAAAAAAAAATAACTCTATCTGATTTTGTCATTCTTCAATAATTATCATAGAGAATAAATATGAAAAGCCATATTGAACATAAATCAGGTCGAGATTCAAATTCTTAAATCGTGTTATTCTATAATTGTCTACAGTTCATGTTCTTGGTAAAACAGGGGAAGAAACGAAATCAATGGAAATGGTTAAAACGAAATCAATTTTCATCGATGAAAATAGTATGAGATAAACATTGTGAAGAGATGAATCACAGACGTACCGGATTGAAAGTCGTACTATTAATGGTGAGTAAAGAGAGCTGGTCGACCTTAGGCCTGAAAAGGGCAAGTTGAGTGTTTTTGTATACCAAAGCGAGACGACTATCACATGGCGAAAATTGAATCTGATCCTGAAAGAACGCTTCCTTCGACGAAAACGCTAGGCCAAAAGTAAATCCGTCTGATTTCTGAATCTTCGCATCCAAACATGGACTGTATATTTCGTTCGTATCCGTTCCTTCCGCAACCAAAACCAGCACCGTCACAACCAAAACCACTGTTACCGTCCTCATCGCACCCATTCTACCTTCACTTATCATCTTCACCATCTACAACGAGGGAAAAAAAAAGCATCCAAATCCACAAATCAACAGGGATTGCAAGATTTCCAATATTGATATTCTAAATATGCAAAATCAGAGGGTGAAAATCCCTAGAAATGTGAAAAGGAAGAGCGAAATCGACTTTTGGTTCAAGCAAAACCAAAAGGAAAGGTTAATCCATACCTGTAGGATTCGGAGGAGATAGCAATACAAATGAAATTGTATTGCAGGCTTCTTGTTCTTCCAGAAGCCATTTGAATCAGAGCAACAAAAGAAAAAAATAGAAATCCAGAGAAAGAGAGAAGAAGAAGGGCTCTTCGCGAACGCGGGAAACGGTTATATCGGCGGTCCAGATGGATCTCAATAAACCGTTCAAATTTTAAACCCATTTTAAAATAGCAAAATTAAACACTAATTATTTCCTTAATTACTGTTTTTTTTAATTTTAAACAAAAAAAAAAAGTTTTAAAAACTATTTTTTATTTTTTAAAATTTTGGCATAAATTTTGAAAATATAAAAGTATTTTTATTAAAGAAAAATTGAATTTTTAATCAAATTTAGAAAATTAAAAAAATTAAAATTTGTTTTTTTAATTTTTAAAATTTACCTTAAATTTTTAAATTGAAAAAGTAAATAACAAAATTAAAAAAACTTATAGAACACTTAATTTTTAAAGATTAAAAAAAATAATAAAAACTTTAATAAATGATATTATTAATAATTATAAAATTAAAAAATAAAAAAAAAACAATATAATTTGTTTTTTCTTTCTATTTGGTCAATAGTGACCCATTGGAGTGATAACAAAGAGCAAGGGCCCACACATGCAGCAACCCTTCCCTGACGCGACACGTGTCAGGACAAATAATAATAAATTTATTTTTATTTTCTTTAATAATACAGTTAGGCAAAGGAAAGAGAATAAAGCCACTCAAAGCATCAACTTTGGTAGGTTCGCTCGCTCCTTGACTCAGTCTTCACTTTACGCTTAAAAGCCCGTCAGCTGAGTTGACTCGTTCTTTTTGCAAAATTAAAAATTTCATATTATTATGTTTTTAAAAAAATATATTAGTTTTTTTAATAAATATATCTTTGTAATAATTTAATTTCATATATTAATTATAATTATTGAGTTAAATGGAAAAATTATTTTGAAACAAAATATTAATAATTTTCAAACCAAACTAATGATATAAATCTTTTTTTAACTTTTTTAGTATAAATATATTATTAAAAACTCTTAAAGTTTAATGGATAAAGTTTAAGGATATTTTATTTATTTATTTATTAATTTAACCTAATATTAGGTATTTGATTATTGATGTGAATTTTAAAACTACACAATACGATATTAAAATAATAAAATTATTATAATTGATTTAATTATTGTAAAAAAATATTTTATTTTCCTTATTTTGTATTTTTTTTTAGAGAAAATGGGTCATCAAGTCCATGGAATTTAAGGAATGATTGAAGAAATAAAAAAAATTAAATAATGGATAATATAAAAAATTAAATTTTTTATACAATAATTCCCACAATTAAGGGTGCACAAAATCGTGTAATTAAAAATAAATAGGTAATAATTAATACGATAATATTAGTTTCTTTACTTAAAAATACCATTACATTTATAAATATTTTATAAAAATTATTATTACTTTATAAGTATATTTTATTAATTTAACTAATATATATATATATATAGTAAATAAACACTATTTTTAAAAATTTATATGTTCATTAAAAAAAAGAAATAGTATATAATATATAGTTATAAAAAAACATTTAAATTTTAAGATTTAGTTTATTTATTTTTTGAACATTAAAAAATGTTTAATAAATTTATAAATATTGTGGATGGTATTTAATAATAACTCGTCTAATATATTATTGTCAAATTAAAAAATTAAATTAATTTATATATAATTTTTAATTTTTATATCGATTAATTTTATAATTTTAAATAATTTTGGAATTTAATTGAAAATATGAATTAAAATAAATGGCTATGACAGGAAAGATACCAACTCTTAGAAAAGTTTGGCAAAAATTGGATTTTTTCCAAGAATAGTAATTAAAAAGAAATTATGACTGAGTGGACCCGGCCGAGTTGAACCGAGTTAAAAGACCGAGTCAAGTCGAGACGAGTTGTGATGAGTCACCATGGGCCAGCCCCTTTCATCGGCTGGTTCAACTTTTAGGTCAAGTTGAGTTTTCTTTTCCCTTTTTTCCCTTTTAATTCTTTTTTTTTTCTTTTTCTTCTCTCTTTTGTTTTTAGTTTTAATTATTAATTTGAAGAAACGGAATTTGACTGCAAGAAGAAGAAGAAGAAGAAGAAGAAGAAGAATCAGTGGGAGAGAGAGAGAGAGAGGGGGAAGTAGATCTGAAGGCTCATATAGCAGAGCCTCTTACGGCGGAGATTCAGGGAGAGAAATCCGGCCAAGGGCGGCTGATTGTTTGGTTCCGATCAAACAAAAATACAAAAATACAAAAATACAGAAGGGGAGGGTTTTTGAATCGCTATGCTGAATGACTGATTTTTCAGCTTTTCGAACGGGCGGATTCAAAAGGAAAATGCCGCGCCCTTATTTTCACAAGCTTGTGCTATCCTCCACTATCCAAGCTAGGAAATTGGTACTCTGTTGATTCTTTTTCTGATTGATTTTTTCTGGCTTTTGCTTCCCTTGCTTGTTTGTCGAAAAAATCAGGCTCAACTCCTTTTCGCTGTTTCTTTTTCTTTTGGAGTTTCTCTAGTATTGCTCTTTGTGTATCTCGTGCTGAGTTCTTTTGCTCTTCAACGAATTTTCTGATGGAATTAAGCTAAAACCCTGATTTCTATGTTGTTTTTAATCAGGGAAGACGGGGGGAATTATCGGGATATACTCGATGTTCTTGATGATTTACTTCTCTGTTTGTTACTTTTGATCAATCGAAGAAGTTTTTAGGCCCAAAACTGTTCGTTCCTTGTCTATCAGTCTGCTATAGAGATATATGACTATTATTACTGAATTTGGAGCTGAAAGTTTTCATTATTTAAGCTCATTAACCATGTTTTTTTGTTAGTTTCAGCAATCTAAGGCAATGCATTGGTTTTGCTTTCAAAATGATTTCATATTCAGTTTGCATGATTGGGCAGGTTATGTTTCCGTCAGCTGAATATCACTTGGGAGTAAAATCCCAATTTTCTGAGGGCCCGTTTTGACTGAATATACTCAATTTAGGCCCCTGACCTTCAAGTTCTCGCTTCTCAGCGTTTAGGGATAGCATTCTTTTGATTTGTTCTAATTTGACGTACAAATATTGCTATATGCTAATCATAAAAAAAATAAAGGTTTTTCTTCCTATTTCACTAATTCGTTCATATTTTTTAGGTTCTCTGAGAAGAATTTTCGAAGTAAGATGACCATTATTTCATCCTGAGTTGTGAGATATCATATATATAATAAATCAGAGAATTTTGTGTTCATTTGCAAATACTCTCTTGAAATATCTTGTCAACTGTTAATTGTGGAAATAAACAATCCATTATCATCATTCTTTTACCATATGAAGATTATAACTTAATCCCTTAGTAACAAGTACTACTATATCTTTCCATTGTCTCTTAGTGCTAGTTCGGTTGAGTAGTTGGGATATAACAGCCCAAGCCTACCATTAGTAGATATTGTCTTCTTTGGGCTTTCCCTTACGAACTTCTCCTCAAGATTTTTAAAACGTGTCTGCTAGAAAGAGGTTTCCACACCCTTATAAAGAATGCTTCGTTCCCCTCGGTTGAGTGTCCTCGTTGACACTCGTTCCTCTCTCCAATTGATGTGGGATCACAACCCAACGTCCTCGTTGGTACACCGCCAGGTGTCTAGCTCTGATACTATTTGTATTAGCTCAAGCCCACCACTTGCAGATATTGTCTTCTTTGGGCTTTCCCTTTCGGGCTTCCAAGGTTTTTAAAATGCATTTGCTAGGAAGAGGTTTCCACACTCTTTTAAAGAATATTTTTGTTCTCCTCTTCAACCGATGTGGGATCTCACCTGGAATCTTAATGAAATCAAACAAACTTCATTTTCCTTCTGTTGTATTGTTATTCTTGCTATTCATCGTGTTAGCTTCGTTTGTTCTTGCTGCACATCATGTTAACATACTGCTTTGAGATTGCTTTATTGGTAGTATGAAATTACAAAAGAAAGAGGAAACCCTCAGTTAAGAGAATTTCAAAAGACCTCTCCAATTGGAAATGAGAGTTGAAAGCTATAGTGATGAAATAAGGGGAGCATTTACGCTAAGTCACAATCGTATTAATTATAGCGTGGGAGTTCATTTTTTGGAAGATTCTTATATTTCTTTCTTGTCAGATGCTCTCCAGCAGTAGGCTCTTATGAAATTCTTCCAAAGATGTTTTGTTTCATTTTGAAAGGTAGACCTCCATGGGTGTGTGAGAATAAAAGCTTTGGATCTTTTGGGATTGTTTGTTTCTTATAATGCAGTCTATGCCGTCATTTACTTTTACCTGGTTCTTTTATCCTGGGCTTTCCTTTCTTTGCATTGCCCTTTTGTTCATCATTTTTTTTTTTATCTCTGATGGAAAATATCTGTGTGGTTGGCTACGGAAACTTTATAGAACTCCTTTGTTTCTTTAATCATAAATCAAGTGTTATATTCCTTTTTCAATAAGGCAACATTTCCCTTTGAATCAGCCTGCTGAATGATCATACCACTGAAGTCGTCTTGTCAGATATGTTCTATTTGTTGGAATGGAGTTAAGTTTCTATATTATCAATCATTTGTGTGACCCCCATCACTGGTCAATATTTACAGAGAATCCCAGAAACTTTTGTCAGGATGATCAGGGATGAGCTTTCTGGAGTTGCTACCCTTACTGTTCCCGATGGCCATGTTTGGCGTGTGGGTTTAAGGAAAGTCGATAACAAATTTTGGTTTGAAGATGGTTGGCATGGATTTCTTGAGCATTACTCCATACGGGTTGGGTACTTATTAGTATTCAGATACGAGGGAAACTCGGCGTTCTGTGTCTTTATCTTTAATCTTAATACATCTGAAATAAACTACCAATCTGCTGCACTCGGTGGTAATCAAAGGAATAATTACAGCATTCAAAACAGAATCTTTGAAGAATTGGAGGATTATGACATTCCTGAAGCCATTCCTTCCATTCAGTCCATGAATTCTGGTTCTTTGCGAAATAAGCTATTTGGTGATGAATGGAATCCACACCAATCAAAATCTGCAAGTACGTTGCAAGCCGAGTATTTATCTACTCGTGATATTGGGGTTCAGTTTAGTGCTATGGAGGTTAAAAAATCTGCAGATGAGGTGAGATTTCAGAATTTGGGTGATGATGTACACAGAATTAAAAAGAGTGGAGGCAAAAAGCGAAAACTTGATTCTAGTAAGCTCCCGTCGCATCGCTTGACATTTTAGCAATGTAAATGTTTGAAGTACCTTACCCGTAATTTTCGATCTGCAGGCGATCACCATCCATCATCTGCTCATAGTGAAGATTTAGGAGACATTCGCTTTAGATTTTATGAAAGTGCCTCTGCTAGAAAGAGAACAGTGACAGCAGAAGAAAGAGAAAGAGCTATCAACTCTGCAAAAGCTTTCGAGCCCGGTAATCCGTTCTGCAGGGTCGTCTTGCGACCATCGTATCTGTATAGAGGTTGTATAATGGTAAGATATTTGGATTGTTGAGATATCTAAATGGAAGCTTTTAAATTGAATTATGCAAGTGCTAACAATGGTAGTCTGCACTCTCTTTTACAGTATTTGCCATCTTGCTTTGCTGAAAAGAATCTAAGTGGAGTTTCAGGATTCATCAAACTTCAGACACCGGACGGGAGACAGTGGCCTGTCCGATGTCTTTATAAAGTTGGTAGAGCGAAGTTAAGTCAGGGATGGTATGAGTTTTGCCTGGAAAATAATTTAGGGGAGGGCGACGTTTGTGTGTTCGAGCTTCTCAGGATGAGAGAAATCGTGCTCAAAGTTACCATGTTTCGTGTCATGGAAGAAGGCGGACGAATGGCTAACCCGAATTCTACCGGCACTATGAATCCTCCTCCGCTGCGAAGTGTTACCCAGATTAAGCTGATCAGAAACTAATACTCCATATTTCCAGGTTATCCTACTGTATCAAACCTCTTTCTTTCTTTCTTTCTTTGTGGTAGCCTGTTGTTTCTGATCTGTTCTTGTGGAATTAGCTGTTGTTTGATGTTCATAATCTTTCCAGGTTGACAAAAAAAAGGATCCATTTAGAGTTTACGTTCCAAAAAGCTGTATTGACTTTAGTTGTATATAGATTTTCAAATTTTTGTTGATATCAATCCAGACCGTGTTTGTTTTTGGTTCTTTTTGTCTGTGTAGTGATTGATAAAGATAGGATCAAAGGAAGAGGAGAACCCTTCTCTTATTGTGTAAATGACTGATTCTTCTTGTTTTGCTTGGAATGGTCTGGTCTTTTTGTGGGCTAGAGAGCTACTAGACTCGAGGGGAGGCCAAGTTAAAAGAAGATAAGGCAAGTGAATAAGGTCTGAAACCCAACATGAAAACATTTATGCTCGAGACCAATTTCTTTCTTGAGCCTTCCACTCGGCTTGGTGAAAGTATCTCGTCAAGTTGGACTAGCAGCTCCTTTGACTAGAAGTCTAAGTCGATCGATTGGTCTGAGGTTTGTACTCTGTCCTCAAATTCCTTTAAAACCACTACTTTGCATCTACGGACAGATAATCTAAATAAAAGAGTGGACTCTTCTACATTATAAGTGCATGCAGCTCTGCTTGAAGCGCTTGTAGCCTCCCCTCAAAGTCGTCATCGACTCGTTGTTTGAGAGTGCATTCATGTTTTAGTTTCCTCCTTTTGAAATTTATGCTTGTTTTCTCTTAATTCTGTACTTTATTTTCATCTCTTGCTGAAGCATTTAAATCCTTGGCCAAATTTTAGAGACAAACAAAATTAGTCAATAACGTTATAACTGAACGAAGAAACTCATTGATGAAAGTAGTATTTGTACGTTTAATTCTTTCTCCATGATATTTCGTAACAAGTAAGCTAATGTGTAGATTAAGTAGGTCAACTTAGTCAAAGTTAAAAGTTAAGGCGTTTTCTCGAATGATGGCGAACTCTAAATTATTTAATCCTACTTTTTTTTTTTATAACAAAAGATTGATTTAATTTTATATAAAAAAATATTTTAAATTTAATTCTTATTAGTAATTAGTTAACACTTTTTTTTTAATTAAATGTTAATTAATCGGGTTATAAAAAATTTTGAATTATATAAACAGTTTCTAAATTTTCAATAATATTAAATTAATCCAGTATTTATTACAGCCTATTTAATTTCTACCCACCTACTTAATAACACAAAAGTGGAATAAATTCAAAATAAATACAAAATAAGCTATAAATTCAAGTAATAAACTCCACCCCACTGAATTAAATAATAAAAACTTACATTTGTTTTATAATCCTTTGATTTTTTTTTATATTACATTTAATTATTATTTTTTTACTATTTTTAACCACAATTTTCTTCTTTTCAAACAAAATAATAATAATTCTTAGTTAAATTCTAACAAAAAATTTTAATTTTGATTTGTATTTTGAAAACACGATTTAAAAAATAATTAAATAATTAAATTAATAAATAAAAATTATTCAACTTCATCGGTTAAAAAAAATATAAAATTAGTACTACCCAAATATACAAAATTAATATATTATTAAGTAAATTTTATATCGGTTTTAATCTCAAACTTTTAATTTTCTTAAATTACACCTCGAAGTTTAATAATTTTAACAATATTAACCTTAAACTCGTCAAAGTATTGCAAATTTAACCTTCAAAGAATGTTTAAATCCAAATATTGTTTATCAAAACGTTTCTCTACAAAATTGATAGAATCTACTAAATTTTTTATTCAAATCTATAAAATTTTGACAAAGATACCCATCATCGTAAAAATTTTATTTTATTGAAATTAATGAATTTATGAAAAATTTTATGATGTTTTTATTAATAAATTAGTGAACAAATTAATAAAAATGGAATAAATATTAATGTTTTATAAAGTAAGTTTTTTTTTCTAAAAATAAAATAAAAACTCAAAGATAACAAACAATTACAATATATTATGGCCAATTTTTAGAATTATTGATTAAATTTATTAAAAGTTAATTGTACGATTAATATATATATATATATATATGAATAATTTTAAATATATAATTGTATCTTTATCTTTACTAATTACTTTATTAGAACGTGGGATGCTTAAGAATCATTTTCGGACCAATTTGTCCTTTTGTATAGTTCTAAAATTCCTAAACAATCCCAACAAAGCTTCCTTTATTTATATTTTTATTTTTAACCTTTTTCTTTTCATATATTATATATATATATATATAAACTCCACATTTTTTTTTTATTAAACAAGGTTAATTAATATTCTCTTATATGGTGAATTTTGAGAAATTTTTTAATTTTTTTAGATTTTATACTTTAATTTAAAATTTTGAATGAGATAATAACGGTTTCTATACGACGTTTTGGAATAATTTTTAATAAAAGAATATATATTTTAATGAAAATTTTAAAGTTGAAATGTTCCAAAATTAATATAAATGAGTATTTATATATATATATATAATTTAGCGATTTATTTAAGCTATTGGGACCCACTATATTAAACGTGTCGTTTTCTTATTGGTTATTACCAAGGTGGGTCCCACATTGTATACACGCAGCATAGTTTTTTGATCCTCCATCTTTCTCTCTCCCTTGTCGCGCACACACAGCGCGGGGTTTTAGGTGCAGAGCTTTTTGCTAGAAATCAATGGAAATTGAATTAAGGGTCTGCTAAAATTTCCATGGAGAACTCTGTTACAGCCATAGTCGAGTCAGATGAACAGGAGGGAGCTCAATCGTTCAATGAAAGCTCTCCAGTAAGGAGGGCTGGCCTCTTCTACAAGCTGGTAGTGCCGTCCATTCTTCAAGACAAGAAGCTGGTAATCGTTTTGTTTCTATGTGAATTTTGTTTTTGTTGTTCTTATGGGGAAAGGAAATGAACGGAATCCAGAATCGGTTCTAGGAAGAGAATGTAGACTGATTTTCATTTGCTTTTCTCACTCGATATAAGTGATCAATCGTTTCTTAGCTTTCTTTTTCTTGTCTGTTTGGATGGAGAGTGTTGGATTCGTTAGTTTAGATTGATTGTGAAAAAATTGAGAGAAATCGCCTCTTATTGATTGCTGATTTTTGTATGAAATTTTCCGTGGTAGTCTCGTTGGATTGTTTTTCAAAAGCCAAATTCTGTTGCTGCATCGAGAGAGAGTGTGAAAGCGGTATTGATAAACAATTTGGAAGCGGATGAATGATCATCAATGATCAAGAACATGATTTGGGTTGCGAATAATCGGGGCTTATCTTTTGCAGCTTGCGTTTCTTGGCGTTGATTCATGTTTTCTTTTCTAATTGGTTTTGAATGATCAACTTTTTTCAAGCTCTATCTGTTCATGATGTACTGCGGGGACTCCTTGTTTCACTTTAGGCTAATGTGTGGGCAATTCATTTTACTAAATTGAATAGGCATTAAGATCAATTCAAAGTTAAAACTGCTGGAGTATAGTGTTTTCTTTGTTCCTCCTTTTCATTTTTTTCCCATGAAATTCCATTAAGGGGTTGAAATTTCAGCTGTTCAAAGAATTTTGGAGATTTTTGTATTACAGTGCTTGCCTTTGACTTGTTTTGAAAGGGGTGAGAAAATCATTCTTCTATCCATTATTGTTTGGTTCTAACACTTTTGTTAAGTCATGATTGATACCTTTCATTAGAAATCCTGCAGATTGTGTTACTTTCTGTTTGTATTATTGTTTGTTTAACGGATTAATTTGATGTATCCACAGAAAATACCAAATAAATTTGCAAAGAAGTTTGCAGATGATCTTTCTGATCTTGTTACTCTAGTTGTTCCGAATGGTCATCGATGGGTTCTGGAGTTAAAAAGACATGGCCGTAGTATGTGGTTTGAGGATGGTTGGCATGATTTTGTGAAACACCATTGCATTCAAGTTGGACAACTCTTGGTTTTCAGATTTGAAGGGAATTCCGTTTTCAACTTTTACATGTTCAACCTAACTGCTATTTCAAATGGTCCATGCAATACTTCAAATGCTTCCTCTGAACAAAACGATGGTGAACAATGTCCTGTTACACTTGGAAAAGAAGCTGAATACAAGAAATTAGTTGAGATATTTGGAACGAGTTCTCCGGATCCCTCTCCACGCCCTTCGGTGAAAAACGCTTTATGTGGTTTTTCAGATCAGCAGAAATTCAATGGAAGTTGCAATGGGATTAGCATTAAGAACTTTATGCATTGGTTTGATACAGAGAACATGCATCCTCTAAAGGATTTGGATAAGTTGCAACTACTAAAGTCGAATCAAGATATTGGTATTCAATTCGACGGGGACGAGCTTGCAAAAGCTAGAGAGAATTTGGACTTTCAATTCTCTGATGAATCAAATGAAAGAGCCAGGAAAAAGAAGTTGAAAGTTGAACCAAGTAAGTTCTACAAATGCACTCTTTAACTCATTTGCAGATTCTCAGAAGTAAATTGATTCTTTAACAACAAAAATTGAATGTAGTTGACTACTACAATGACAATGAGGCCATAGTGGAAAAAAATAGCGAAAACATCCCACATAAAATTAGTAGGATGGCGTGTGGAGTCGAGGAGTTCAAGCCTGGTAATCCCTTTTGCTGGATTGTTATGAGGCAATCCTATGTCCGAAGAGGGTTCCATCTGGTAAGTCTTTTAGCTCTGCACTCCATTATGTGATTCTCAAGTAGATGGTACAAATGAAGTCTGTTTCGTTATCAACAGCATATACCGTCCAAATTTGCTGAGAAGTATCTAAAAGGGGTCTCAGGCGACATCACACTTCAGGTTTCTAGTGGGAAGCAATGGCGTGTTCGATGCATTCGCGAGGGTCCTGGCACCAAGCTAACCAGGGGATGGGCCGACTTTGTTGTGGAGAATGATTTGAAAGAAGAAGACGTTTGTGTCTTTGAGCTGATTGATATAAAAGCTACTGCACTGAAAGTTACAATATTCCGAGTCCACGACGATCCAACGAAAACTTGAACCCGAGGTAATCTTTTTGCTGAATTTGACGTGCATTACATTATGTTTTCAATGTCGGCTACTCTTTTTCCTGCATGCTTCATTAGATTCTAACTAGTAAATTTGAGCATAGTTATCATGAGGTTTACATATACCTGGAAAGTAGTTGAAATTTTGCAAACCAAAGTGGAGACTATTTGTCTGAATGTCACCCAAATAGCTTATTAAATCTAGTACTTGTTGTTTGCTGATTCCTGTGAACTATTGCCATGTTGATTATGAAGTAAATGGATTCTGGGTTTACATGATGATTCTAAATCTCAATAGAATTTGGCTGGCTTGAAAATTTAGCTCTAATCATAGTTATGGAAATTAAGGGCTGTTTGTTAGGCTTCTATTTCTTGTTTTTTTTATTTTTTTTCAAAAGATAGAATATGAAAAATGTATTTGGTACTTGATTCTCATTTAGTAACCATTTCACTATTTCTCAAACTTTAAAATCAAAAGTTTTTCCTGAAAATATTTAGATAAGGTTAGAATTTATTCCGTTAGAATTTGCTCTATGGTTTGATAAAATCTCGTAGGGACTATTTATAAGAGTTTTATCAAATGATAGAAACTATTTACGAGTTTTTATCGAACCATAAGGATGAAATTTTAATGAACTTTCTCCAAATCATAGAGACCGAAAAGATAAACCATGATTTTAGTTATCTTTGAATGATCATAAACAGAAAACAAAGGAACTATATTCTTTAATTACAATTACACAAAATGATAAACGAGAAACATAGAACAACTATCAAATGCATGTATTTTTCTTAGAGCTAGAAATTTGAAACGAGAAATATGTAGGGAAGGAATCCTTTGAGAGTGTGAGATCCCACCTCAATTGGAGAGGGGAACGAAGTATTCCTTATAAGGGTGTGGAAACCTCTCCCTAGTAGACTCGTTTTAAAATTATGAGGCTGACGATGATACGTAACGGGCCAAAGCGAACAATATCTGTTAGCAGTGGGCTTGGGTTGTTACAAATGGTATCAGAGCCAAACACTGGGCGGTGTGTCTATAAGGACGCTAGGCTTCGAAGGGGATGGATGGTGAAATTTCACATTGGTTGGAGAGGAAAACGAAATACTCTTTACAATGATGTGGAAACCTCTAAAATTGTGAGGCTGACAGTCATACGTAACGGGCCAAAACGAATAATATCTACTAGTGGTGAACTTGGGTTGCTACAAATGGTATCAAGGCTAGACATCAGACAATATGCCAGCGAGGACGCTGGCCTCCAAGGGGGGTAAGAAAATACTTTTTGTAAGAGTGTGGAAACCTCTCTCTAGTATACGCATTTTAAAACTGTGAAGTTGACAGGATACATAACCGATCGGCCAAACTCGGCCAAGTGAGTTTGAGCTGTTACAGCCTTCTTGTGCACATTCTGTTCTATAGAAACTATCTTCTCATTTGTCTCCTGAGCTTTGTTTTTCCATCAATCACACATCCGACAACCTCATATCTGACATTACTGTCTGCATTTTACAGGAAATCATGGAAACCCAACTGGAACATCCAGTGGATTATGATGCAAATATGTTGGAATTTTTCTCAAAAAACAGATGACAACAAGTTCTTGATTACACAACACCCTGTTGTTTCAGATTATCCTTGTAACCTTGTCAATGTTCACTTTTCGTCTTTATCATTTACAGCTTGTTTTCAAAGCATGAAGTTGAAGAGTGGTTGAACTTTGAAACTCCATTGCTTTAGCTCCCATCTGTATATTCTTCCCTGAATGGAAAAGTTAAAAAGAGTTGGTTTTCTTTTCTCTGTAATGTATTGCCATGAACTCTAAAAGTGTTGAAGCTTACTGTTTTTCCCTTCCATCTGTAAATCACTTGTATTTTTCGACGGTTGGGACCGGAGTGGCGGTGTGTGTGTGGTCGGAGTAGTTTTTCGATGGACCGTTTTGACCTAAGATGCACGACGGTTTAGTTTGGTTAGATTGTCCGTGTCTAATGTGTGTTAGCACGATATATGTGTTTGTACATTATTTGTATAAAGTTAATATTGATTCAACATTTGTGAATCCTTGTTCAGTTTCTCCCAAAAAAAAAAGTCAAACAAAAGTCAGAAGTTTAAATTCCCGCTCAAGACGAACAAAAACAAGTTTTTACGGTTACAAAAGTTACATCGTAGGAATTTTCACCCTAAAACTTTCATTGGGGTCGTTGAATTGGACCTTATAATTTTAATTTCATCAAATTGGACCTTAGCTCTAATGCATTTTTCTTTAGAAATTTATCGAGAATTCAGGGCACGCGTCGGAAGATGGTTAAAAGGGTTAAAATTGCAACATTTATCTAAGTTTGAGATACAATTGGATGAAATTAGTAGTCTTAGATTAAAATTGATATAACTTCAGATTGACTGGTAAAATTTGATTTCTTCCTCTTGAAAAAACTCATCAAATTCATATATGCAAAGATTTATCGTATATGATTTTATTTGTTCACTTTAATTTAATGGATTAGTCAACATAAATATAGTTATGACATACTTAAAATTCGATATAAAAGTGTACACAGGTTGGGTTGGGTTGAGTTGGTGACTTGAGCAACCCGAATAAAGTTTACAACCTAATCTAACCCAACCTCATATTTTCGTGTCGTGTTGGGTTGGGTTGTCGAGTTGTTCCTTTTTATATATATATATATAATTATTTTTAAAAAATCATATTTATCCCTAATACATTTTATATTAATAATTAAAATATCGTAAAACTTCCATGTCAAACATTTACAAGTCACATCAAATCTTTTTAATATTCATAATAATCTTAAAAAATGAGATAGAGTAGGTTCAACTTGGACGGACAAAAAAAAAAAAAAAAAGTCAACCCTCCTACACACTCGGTTTTTCAAAAATTCAACCCAATTCAACACATATATACATACATACATAACATACATATACATACATGCATGCATACATACATTTATATGCATACATACATACATATATATACATACATACCTACATACATATATATATACATACATACATACCTACATACATATATGTATGTATATGTTATATATACCCATACATACATATATATACATACATATACAGATACATACATATACACATACATACATATATACATACATACATACATATACACATACATACATATATACATACATTCATACATATATATACATACATATACATACGTATACATACAGATACATACTCATGCATACAGATACATACCCATACATTTTATATATATGTATGTGTATATATAACACATAGGTATATACAAAAAAATAATAATAATAATAATAAATAATTAGAATCTTACTTTCCATGTGATTCCTTATGATTATGAGATTTTTAGATATTTAGATTTAAACGTCTTATTTTTAAATCAAATTTTCAAGAGCAACAATAATTTGAAATAAAATCAAATTCATTTTGGCCTTTTAACATTTGTGAACTAGATATTTGCTTATCCGAAGCATTTATGTGGATCTTTAGATTCAATTGACTAAGATTACCGTTTCAATTGGTCGAAGTTTCGAATCATATCGACATTCCCAATTAGATATTCAAATCCTCGTACTCATATTCGTGTGATGTACTAACTTAGATTCTCTCTGCCGCAACCACAACCACATGTGACATGCCTTTTTGGGAAAACTTTCACGAACAATTGTCGTTTTTTTATGGGTTTTATGTTTTATACAGCAGCCCTTTTCACACCTCCGAATATCTAGTGCCAAAATCTTAGTTCGTCGATTGTCCAAGTTCGTGAAGGTTGAGCGAATGGAACGAAAACGCTCAATCGACAAATAAAGAAAAGAGAAACCACTAGAACCTGCCAAAGTCACTATCAATGAATTCCCGAGCAATTCTCAACCAACATGTGCGATTCATTCCTGTAAATATTCTAACACACAGAGGACTCCTTACCTTAGAAGTGGGATAAACGAGATAGTCCCTGATGAAGAATGCAAGCAAAGTAGGAGCTCGGGCATTATTATATTTGATTAAGTTTCTTCATTAATATCTAAATTCATTTAATTTTTAATATATTTTTTTTTGTTTCATTTGATTAAAACAAATATAATATGAGAAGAATTATAATTAGTAAAAGGAAAAAAAGAAAGTAAAATTGGGATAATTTTTTAGTTTCGATACTATTGGTATAAACATATGATCATGCCATTAGAGTTTTCTCCAAATCCCAACACAGTTTGAGAATTTGGACCGCTACGAAATTGTTCATCTTCTTCTTCCGAAGTTTCTGCCAATGCTCCTGTTTCTCAAATCGTTTGAGCTTTTCACTGTGATTTAGAATCTGCTGGCGGAAATTTGATTTCCAAGAACTCCGCTCGTCGCTGGATGAATGTTTTCCGGACAGTTCCAGTTTTCAGAACCTCAGGGATGCGAAAGAATTGCAATGAATTTTCGTACTAGAAAGGAAGTGAATGATTCTGAAGAATTCGGATTCTTGTGGGCTTTGAAGGGTTTGAAATGAATTTTTTCAGGAAATTCCCGGGAGAAGGATGATGCAGGGACTTCACCATCAGCAGCAGCAACTAGCGGCGCTTCTCAACGTAGCTTTGCGGAAGGATGATCCTAATGCCACTACCTCAAGTTCCATTTCCACCGGTGCTGCTTCCGACGAGGACGACTCTGCTAGAATTGCAGCTATCAATTCAATCCATCGCGCCATTGTTTATCCTCCTAATTCGCTTCTCGTAACTCACTCCTCCACTTTTCTTTCCCAGGGCTTCTCTCAGCTTCTATCTGATAAGTAAGACTTCCTCTTCTGGCTATACGATGCTGGAGGTTTCTCTCGTGCTTTTTCTATCGTTTTTCAGCTGATATTGTTATTACCGTTTTTCACTTTGTGGTATGCTGAAAGATTATGTGCTGTATTTGGATTCGAGCTGAGAGTCCATTTACATTTCCTCATTGTTTCCCTTTTTTCCCACCGGTGTTTACTGTTCATGCGTTCTCCAGGAATGTGCTTAGGCAATAAATTGGAATTTTGAGGAAGCTGGGAAAATGATCCTTAAAAAGTTGAACTCAATCGAAAATTTTGGTTTGTCCAAGGATAATACAAACGCATTTTCCCAGAACTTTTAGTACTTTTTCTCAGTAGAATAGTTGGTCTAGTAGGTTTATGCTTATTGATTCTAATTCTTTTTTTAATGTTCTTAAAAACATTGATCCATCATGTTCTTCACAGAATGTTATTATTGATGCAACTATTACTTGATTCCATATATTAGGTCATACCCAGTGAGACAGGCAGCAGCCATTGCATATGGGGCTCTCTGTGCTGTCTCATGTTCAATCGCGGCATCACCAAATGGAAGGCAGAATAGTGTACTACTTGGGACTTTGGTCGATCGATTCATTGGTTGGGCATTGCCATTGCTTAGCCATGTCACTGCAGGTGATGCAACCACCAAATTGGCATTGGAGGGATTACAAGAGTTCATTAACATTGGAGAAGCTGGTGCTGTGGAGAGATATGCTTTGCCAATTCTTAAAGCATGCCAAGTACTTCTTGAGGATGAGAGAACCCCCTTGTCTTTATTACATGGACTCTTAGGAGTTTTAACATTGATTTCTCTGAAGTTTTCTAGATGTTTCCAACCTCATTTTCTTGATATCGTTGATCTACTTCTAGGTTGGGCATTAGTTCCAGATCTAACCGATTCAGATAGGCACATCATAATGGACAGTTTCTTACAGTTTCAGAAGCACTGGGTGGGTAATTTGCAGTTTTCTCTGGGTTTATTGTCAAAGTTCTTGGGTGACATGGATGTATTACTTCAAGATGGGAGTCCTGGGACACCACAACAATTCCGTAGATTACTTGCATTACTTTCTTGTTTCTCAACAATTCTTCGGTCTACAGCTTCTGGGTTGTTGGAATTGAACCTTCTTGAGCAAATAAGTGAATCTCTTTCGAGAATGCTTCCCCAGTTGTTAGGATGTTTATCCATGGTTGGACGTAAATTTGGATGGTTGGAGTGGATTGAGAATTTGTGGAAGTGCTTGACTCTTTTGGCAGAAATATTACGTGAACGTTTTTCCACCTTTTATCCACTTGCGATCGATATCCTATTCCAAAATTTGGAAATGACCAGAGCTAACCATGTTGTGAGAGGACATAAGATTACGTTTCTTCAAGTTCATGGTGTCTTAAAAACTAATCTTCAGTTATTGTCCCTTCAAAAACTTGGACTGCTGCCATCGTCTGTGCACAGAATATTGCAATTTGATGCACCAATATCTCAGCTTAGACTGCATCCAAATCATTTGGTAACAGGAAGTTCTGCTGCCACTTATATATTCTTGCTCCAACATGGGAATAATGAAGTTGTTGAACAAACAGTGACATTATTAACTGAAGAGTTAGAAGTGTTCAAGGGCTTGTTAGAAAAAGGTTTAGATCAAGGAAATATCAATGGTATTCTCGAATCTCAATTTTATTCGAAAATGGATTTGTTTGCCCTCATTAAATTTGATTTGAGAGCCTTATTGACATGTACTATCTCTAGTGGAACTATTGGTTTGATAGGCCAAGAAAATGTTGCTTTGACATGTTTAAGAAGGTCAGAAAGATTGATTTCCTTCATTATGAAAAAATTGAATCCTTTTGACTTTCCAATTCAGGCTTATGTGGAATTGCAAGCTGCTATCCTCAATACATTGGACAGCTTGACCACAACTGAATTATTTAGTAAGTGTTCTTTAAGGAAATTGAGTAGCGAGAGCCATTTTCTGGATGCAGGTGAAGAGATAGATGAAACATTTCTAAATAAGGACCATTCAGCTATTATTATTGAGCAACTAACAAAATAC